TGGATGTTTAAGTGAGATAAAATCTGGAGGTCACCACTCCCAAAATTACCACGAGAATATAAAAATTTTAACTGCTCTTTGTTCAGTTAGTCACACCAACCAAAACTTCCTTCCAGAAAGCTCAGAAGAAATACTTCCAACATGTTTATTGTCAGGTGAATGAGCAGATATGTATGAAAGCCAAAACATACTGATAACTTACAACAGAAGCCCAATCAAACAGAAAACCAATTCTTTAGGTTCACTGCGGTCAGAATAGTTCACTCAATTTAAAACTAATGAGTGAAACTAATAAAATAAAACAGCAGGTAAGGGAGCTATTTCACTGTAGTCCATCCCATCATTGGAAGTTCGATTCCTGCTCTCCAGGGACCAAGGCCTGTGGCCACAAGGAAGCTAAGGAGGACCAGAGAAAAATAGTCCCGCTTTAAGGTAGAAATCTTTTGTCAAGTCTCATTCCAAACAAAGGTGGACGTGACCTCTCTACAGTGTGTTGGTTTTTCTTCTCTTCAGGTAGTATTTCTCATGTCGGCTCCTGGCAAATGTTCTAATTTTATCTTAGGAACTTCCAGGGCAACTTCTTCAGGTAAGTTCTGTTGAATATCCTCCAACGCAGACATCTGCTGAACATCCCCAGTTAAATGTTCCAACTCTAAATATCTGTAAAGTATCCTTACTTCATATGGAAATTGTTATTTTCTGAGAAGATGCACTGACATGAGACTAAATGATTTCTTCCTTGGAGGTTCATCTGTCTAAAGAGTGATGTGAAATTCTGTGGCCATTAAGTGCTATAAAACATTCATAACTGTTCAACACAGATTCTCATGGTCTGTTACAACTGACAGGTGCTTATGTCATTTGCCTGGGTCTATCAGAAGCCTATGCTATATGTGCTTCAAGGCTAAGTGTCCAGCTTCTGCATCACGTGTCACCTTTCCTGGGGTCTCCTAAGCATCTTCATCAGGCTCCTTATTGTGTTCATCCTGCAGCACAGATTCTGCTGACCAACAGTGGCCCATGAGATAAGAGCTGGCCTTCTTGCCCATGTACAGTTTGAGAAAAAGGTTGAGATCTCTTAGACCCCAAGGTCTCTAATCACTCATTTTATTGAATAAAACTATGTGCCCCTGAGAGCACAAGCTATCCAGAAGGAAACCTGAAAAGAACCAACTTCACTTTGCTGTATAGTAGCAAATAAATTTTGCCTCTGTTGAAAAATATATCCAATTCCCACTGGTTTGTGTTGGTGCTTTTATCATATACCTAACTCATACATATGAAATTTTAAAAGCACACACATGTGAGTTCCTATGCCTATTTAAAGGCAACATATTCTCATGCAATTTTTTTTACATTGCTTCCACACCCCTGCAAAAACAACTGTAATGCTTTAACTATATGGCTCAAAGTATGTTTCAGGTTCTGAAAAGTCAAGTGTCTTCTCATCCCTCATCTCTTCCAAAAATTGTCTGTCTTTCTCACTTGTTTATTATTTCAGTTGAAATTCTGGAATCATTTGGTCATGCTCCAAATAACATATGCGTTACATTTATAAACAAACTTTGGAAGAATTATTTTTGTGTGAACAAATATTAAAAACACAAATATGTTTTAAAATGACAACTGTTTGAAAGATCGTTGAAAGAATATTATCCTCTGTAACAACAAATTCAGTAAGGTGCTATTTCCCTACCACAAGACATCTTTGCTCAATGTGTCAAGAAAAAACAAAATGCTTTTATCATTGCTTCATTAGTGTATGGTTCTGCTGACAAAAAAGCGGAGAGAAAGGAATACTCATGGAGGGAAACATGCTACATGTGTTCCAGAAAACAGTTTCATTATGTATCTGAAACTCTTACCAAGTATTTCTGGTCTTTGACTCACTAATTTCATTGCTAGGAATCTACCTTTTAAAAAATCACCACACTATTAAGGATCTACTGTATTGCTCAGAGAACTCTACTCAATACACAGAATTGATCTGTATGGGAAAAGAATCTAAAAACAGAGCAGATGAATGCATATGTGCAGCTGATTCACTTCACTGTATAGCAGAAACTAACACAACATTATAAATCAACTATGCCTCAATAAAAAATTTTTTTAAATCATCAGAGAGAAAATTTTATATTTATGCACTGCTGCTGCTGCTAAGTCGTTTCAGTCGTGTCCAACTCTGTGCTGTGACCACATGGACGGCAGCCCACCAGGCTCCCCTGTCCCTGGGATTCTCCAGGCAAGAACACTGGAGTGGGTTGCTATTTCCTTCTCCAATGCATGAAAGTGAAAAGTGAAAGTGAAGGCACTCAGTTGTATCTGACTCTTAGCGACCCCATGGACTGCAGCCCACCAGGCTCCTCCATCCATGGGATTTTCCAGGCGAGAGTACTGGAGTGGGTCGCCAGTGCCTTCTCCGCTCTCCACTCTAGCAGATCACAACTCCAGTAACTTTAAGCAGCATGCTCCCTTCCATTAGCTCTCTTCTGCCAGGTCTCAAGCTCCCATCCTATGCAGGTGCAGTCTGTATTGAGCTAAAGACTCAAGCAATCTGGTACAGATTTCTGAAGCTCATTCTCTGCATAAGTACTTCTTCAGTATCTTAATTTGCAAATTCCAGCCACTTCAGCATCCCCAAACTCTAAACTCTCTTTTCTCTACCTAGTGAAGCTCTTACTCCCTTTTTGGCCTCCACTTCTCTGTGCTGTGATTTAGGAATGTGTCCCAGGAAGAAATCTGCAAGTAAAAAACAAGAGCAGGCCTTGGATTTCAGGCTGAGTAGTTTTAACTCAATTCAGTTGTCAATGGGAACGATTAAAAGTTTTAAGGATGCTAGTGGTGTCATTTTTTTGTATATTCATGCTGTTCCCATGTTATGGATTTAATAAACCTGCCTCTTACTTTGATTTCCTGATCCAGATAGTTTGGTATGCAGATGGTGTTCTCTTTGATGGCAGTCTTGGTACTCGTCACTTCTGAAGAAGAAGAACTAGCAGTAGAGCATGCCTTTGGAATCGATGGTGGATTTTTTACCTTCGTTTCATCCTAAATCATAGGCATAATATAATCAATATGCATTTGCATCCACTTATATTTTCTATGAAAATTGAATGTAAAATGAATGAGAAATGTTGTAACTGAGACACATACATGAAAGTAAGAGGTTAGTTTTAATCCTCCCTTAAAAAGCTCATTATCAAATATTTACATTTGAAGATGGAACAAATTAGTGATATGTTAATTTACTTTTTATACAACGATTTTAAACTTTTGGTTTAAAAGATAATTCTGTAATGTTTAATGTGAAACCATCATTTATCTTGCTGCTTCTGGTAACAGCCAACTCTTGACACATATTTTCTCTTGAGATTTTTCTTTTATGACTGGAGAAAGTCAGCCAAGAGTTTTTATGCTATCTGAGAAGAAACTATATGGTGTGAACTACTGCTTCCTGGCTTTGCTAAATGACAGCTGAGAGCTAGAGAATTAGAGGAGTAAACTCAGTTACTTCCCTTGGTTAGTTGGAAAAGGACATAGAAAGGCTATTTTTTTGTTCTGGGATGTGAATATACTGTTTACAGTTTTTTTAAAAAAAAACTGTATTGTCTATTCCAAGAAAGGCTTTTTAATCTTCAGAGTGAGTGACACATAAAGGTACACAGAAGCTGGTAGCTGAATGTGTCAGCCAGGGCCTGCAATGATTACAATCTCTAGAATAGTATTCAGTTGTTGATGTTTAATGAAAATAAGGGCTTCCCAGGTGGCTCACTGGTAAAGAATACGTCTGCCGAGCAGGAGACATGGGTTTGATCCCTGAGTTGGGAAGATCCCCTGGAGAAGGAAATGGCAACCCATTCTAGTATTCTTGGCTGGGAAATCCCATGGACAGAGGAACCTGGTGGGCTACAGTCCATGGGGTCACAAAAGAGTTGGACATGATTGAGCAAGTAAACAACAACACAAGAGAAAATAAAGCTGTATTGTATATACATATTGTATATGCACTCTTCTGTTAAGGTTTATTATGCAGACTTCTTGTTTAGGGGAGTAGCAACATATATATATATATATATATATATATATATATATGTATGTATGTATGTATATATATACACACATTTAAATAATGTATATATATGTGTGTGTGCATGTATATATTTATGTTCAACCATGCCACTGAATACAGCTAAAATGGTAGATTAAAATATTTTTTAAGTTTAAACTGTTGAGGCGTGAATAACTTAGGAATTAATGGGTCAAAAAATAAAATAGAAATGAGACACTTGAGGTGTAGGGTGTACAGTAGCCATTTTTTCCCTGAGATCATTGTCTTACTCCAGAAAATAAAAACTTTCCTTTTGACAGTCTTAAAATTCCTGAAAGACAGGACCCAAATAAAGGCCAACAAAGGTATTTCTAGGTCAAGGTGACCTAGAAATGCAAAGTCCTTGAAGAAATATAGCCTTAGATCAAGGCTTGAACTTGGGCAAATTGGTCGAGGCTGGTAGGGCCCCAGGGTTCCTACAGAAGCAAACACCAGTTCTTTGGAAGAAAGTGCATTTATCATCATCTTCAGATTTCTACAAATGAGTTTTCATACATAATGTCTAACAATTAAATCATGAGTCATAAAAGAAATTATAATGTGAATTAGAAAAAGTCATCAAGATGGCTCCTTCTTACAAAAACACCAGAATCACAACTAACTGCTGAACAACCATCAAAAAAGAAAAAAAAACAAAAAAAATGTAGGGTGTACCAAAAAAGATACCCTATACGCAAAGACAAAGAAGAAACCACAAGAAGACGGTAGGAGGGACACGTGCGATAAAATAAAATCTCATATCCACATGGTGGATGATCCACAAACTGGAAAATAATTATACCACAGAAGTTCTCCCACAGGAGTGAAAGTCCTGAGCCCCACATCAGGCTTCCCAGCCTGGGAATCTGGCAACAGGAGGAGAAGGCTCTAGAGAATCTGGCTTGGAAGGCCAGTAGTATTTGATTGCAAAAATTCCACAGGACTAGGGGAAACAGAAAATCTACTCTTGGAGGGTGCATACAAGGTCTAGTGTGCACCAGGACCCAAGAGAAAAAAGCAATAACTGATAGAAAAAGGAGATAACCTAGAAGGATGGAATTGGGGGCGGGGGGGCAGGGTTTGATGGGAGGGAAGGTTAAGAGGGTGAGGATATTATACTTATAGCTGATTCATGTTGTTTTACAGCAGAAACTAAAAACATTTTAAAGGAATTATACTGCAATTAAAAAGTAAATTTAAAAAAAACCATAATGTGATAGGAAGAAGCAAATCAGTAAGGTTATCCAAGACTTGAGTGACATTATTAACCAATTTGACCTAATTGATATTTATATAACATTCTCCCAAGAACCAGCAGAGTGAACACTCTTTTTATAGACATATGGAAAATTTATCAAGGTTGGGCATATTCTGGACCATATAACATCTCAATAAATAAAAAGTTTCAAAGTAAAGGATGTTCTCAGACCATAATGGAGTTAAACTGGAAATCACATAAAGATAACTTTAAAATCCCCAAATATTTGGAAATTAACATAATTTTAAGTAACCTATGAGTCAAGAGATTTAAAAGAAATTAGGTAGTATGTTGAGCAGAATGAAAAGGAAAACTCAGCAAGTAAAATCTGGAGGATGCAGCCAAAGCAGTTTGTAGAAAAATTATAGTAATATATGCCTATATTAGAAAGGGAAAATGTCTCAATTCAACACATAAGTTTTCATCTTATATAAAGACATGAACCAAAGTCCATGAATCAGGAAACCTTTAACTAGAAACATCAGGAAAAAAAAGACAAGTTATGTACCGATATCAAGAATGAGAGACAGAATGTCTGCAGATTATATAATAATTTAAAGGGTATTTTATGAATGACTTATCAGTAAATTCAACAACTTAGATGAAATGGACAAATTTTTTGAAAAACATAACCAAAACCTTGATTTAAAGAAAACTCCAGGTTCAGATGGCTTCACTGAAGAATTCTACTAAACTTTTAAATAAAAAATTATACTAATTATACATAAAATTTCCTAGATTATTGAAAAGGAGTGATTTTATGATGCCATTTACCAAAACCAGGAAACACATTCATTACCAGTAAACTACAAATATCCCTTATGAACATAAACACAAAAATGCTAAACACTGTTTTATGAAATTAAATATATAAAAATAATACATCATCATCAAGTGGAGTTTTCTCCCAGCAGTGCAGTCTAGTTTAACATTTGTTTAACCAATGCAATTCACTATTAACAGACTAAAAGAGAAAAATCACATGATCATTTCAAATAGATGCTGAAAAAGCATTTGGCAAAATCCTACTCCCATTTCTGATAAAAACTCTCAGAACACTAGAAATAGAAACTTCTTCAGCCATGTAAAGGGCACTTCTGGATAAAGTAAACTAATAGCACAATGGTAAAAGTCTGAATGTTTTCCCCCTGTGATTAGGTACAAGGCGAGAATGTCTGCTGTCCTCACTTTAATTCAACACTGTACTAGAGGTTAGCCATTGCAGTAAGGCACAAGAAACAGATAAATAGCATGTGAATTTGAAACTATAGGAGAAAAAATTTTAATTTAGGATTTATAAAAATTGTACATTTTGATTCTTCAAAAGACACTATCACCGCCCCCCCCCCCCAAAATAATAAGCCTCAATTGGGAGAAAACATTTGCAAAATGTATGTGTGACAAAAGAATTGTATCTAGAATATATAACAAGTGTTTAAAACTTCATGATAAAGAGACCAACACCCCAATTGAAAAAACTGACAAAATATTTGAACATATACTTTACATTAAAAAGTACATATATTTACATATATGGATAGCAAGTCAGAACATGAAAACATGTCATTGGACAATTGTAAAGTAAGACCACAGTGAGATACCATTGCACACCCACTAGATTGGCCAAAATTAAAAGTATTGGTCATATTAAGTTTTAACAGGATATGCAGGAAAGGAAACCATTATATGTAACTGGTGAGAATATAAAATCCTACAACCACTTTGGAAACTTTGGCAGTTTCTTAAAAATTTAAACATACATTTGCAATAAGACCTGGCCTCCCTGGTGGGTTCAGACAGTAAAGAACGTGCCTGCAATGCCGGAGACCCAGGTTTGATCCCTGGGTTGGGAAGATCCCCTGGAGGAGGAAATGGCAATCCACTCCAGTATTCTTGCCTAGAGAATCCTGTGGACAGAGGAGCCTGGCGGACTACAGTCCATGGTGTTGCAAAGAGTCAGACATGACTAAGTGACTAACACACACTACTGTAAGACCCAGTCATTCCACTCCTACTTATGTACCCAAGAGAAAAGAAAATATATATCCATATAAAGATTTGTACACAAACGTTCATATCAGTGTCAGGGAACATTTAACAGGAGGATTCCTGCATGCTGTTTTCTATTTCTCATAAATCCTCTCTTCCTTATCAGTTCCTATTCTGGGAATGAGTAGAGCTGCATGCACTTCCCAGGACTGAGATCATGAGAAATGGTATCTGCTTGGATTCCTTTCAGTAACTCCCTTCAGTGACTCTTTTCTGCAACCTTGTATGTATTAGACTATCCATATTGTGACTATTGATAAAATTTCATCCTGTGCAATAGCTGAGTAATCATCTTACTAAAGATATATAAGCCTGCATTTCTGCTAATAAAGCACCCTTGCTCCATCAGAGCTTGGGTCCCTGTGTCTTTCTTTCTCTCTCTCTCTTTCTCCCTCTCTCCGGCTCTCTCTCTCACTTTCTTATGGTGGACCCCTGACCACCATGTCCCGGTCCATTAAAGGACGGCAACATATTAGCTTTGTTAAAAACTGGAAAAAATGTAAGTCCATCAACAGGTGAACATATAAACAAATTGTGAGATACCAATGTAATTGAATACTACTCAGCAATAAAAAAAGGAATGATACACATAACAAGATGAATGAGTCTTAAACATGCTGAATTAAACCAGATTTTTTAAAAGATCACTGTAAATTTCATTTATCTAAAATCCTAAAAAAAAAATTCATGGTAATCTTTAGTGACAGCAGATAAATGTTTGCCTGTGGGAGAACCAGGGTCATGAGAAAACTTTGTGGAGTTTTTATTCTCTTGATTTCAGTCTGTGAATATATATGTCAAAATTCATCAAACTGAACTCTTTAAAAATGTGCATTTTATATCATGTTAATTATACTTAAAAGCTGTAGAAAAAAATATTGTGAAAAACTTTTCCAGAAAGATATGTGAAGAAAAGGAGAGGAAATGATAGAAGTCAAAACCAAATAGGGGCAAAAACCACTACAATATTGTAAAGTAATTAGCCTCCAACTAGTAAAAATAAATGGAAAAAAAAATAGGTATCTATAAATAGTTGTTTCTTTACCTTTTTAATTACTAAGGGATTATCACTGGAAGTTTTGAAGCACTCCTTGACTTTTCGACAGGGCTCTGAAATGACAGGAAAAATATATTTATTTAGATCAAACTGAAAAATAATTTCTACCACATGATAGATACATCACTTGCTGAAATGGATGAGGGTACATCTGAATTTCAGTTAAAGTCAACTCAGGGATCTATTTATAAATACTAGAAAACCTGCAAGTAGAATTGTACTTTAACAGCATAATAAAAGCATATTTATAAAGCTAACTCTATACCCAGGAAGATGCAATAAAGAAATACTACAAGAACTTCCTTGATCCGGGTAAACTGGTTCTTAAAAAGTATGTATTTCAGTATAAGACGTGTTTTCTTTGTTTTCTGTCCATATGACTGTCACTTTCTCTAACTAAAGAAATTACATGTATACTCTTTGCCCTGTAGACAGAAAGAGATGTGTGTTGAGTTATAATTACATTCTTTATTCTAGTACTTCATCTGTCTTGCAACCCTGCCAATTTCACATAGCCATCTAATTAAATTACCCTTAATTACACTTAAATATTTGCTTAATTTCCCTTTGCATTTATTTAAAGATACATTCCGTGTGACGCTGTTTTTTTTTCCCCCACCGAAGCCATAGTTAACAAAACAATTTTTTAAAAGCTGAAAAGATTTTGTGCATATACACAATAGTAACTGAATTCATTAGTTCTAGCTGAGGAAAGATTTTTTTTTTTTAAGTGTAAAGTTACCTTTCTCCAAGTAGTGAGAAGGAAGTTATGGTTAGTGATTCTGCTTAGTGTCCACTTGTGGGAAACAGAAACCTCTTATCTATTTTAAGCAAAAATGTAAATAATACATAGAATTTAGCTGTTTGCAATATCATTAGAAGAGTTGGAGCAGTGAACAGTTTTTATATAGATTTTTTCTTAATTGGTGGAAAATTGCTTTACAACGTTGTGTTGGTTTCTGCTGCACAACAATGTGAATTATCATATATATATATAAATTATTACATATGTAAAAAATTGTATAAGCCCCTTTTATATAAATACATACATCCCCTGTATAGTCACAACAGCATGAATTGTCATATTTATATATATACATTATTATATACATGTATACCCCCTTCCTGTTGAGCCTCCCTCCCCTCCCCACTCCCCACCCCTCTAGGTCATCACAAAGCACCAGGCCAGGCTCCCTGTGTTATAAGGCAACTTCTCACTGTCTATTTCACACATGCGTGTATATATGTCAGTGTAGAGAACAGACTTATGGACACAGCAGGGGAAGGTGAGAGTGAACTCTGTCTTGACCTTCACAAATCACTTCAAGAACAATACCGTGCACCTGACCCACCAAGGCAGGCACAGCCTTTATCACAATTGGAGGAAGGAGACTCAGGAAGCCATGGCCATGTCAATTGCTGTCACAATATCCATGAGGCTAAATCTTAGGCGTTGGATCACTGTTGCAATCAGAAGGTCACCACATCTGCCGATTTTGCCTTTTAACACCCATAAATCCAGTATCTGGACACTGAGATGCTGTCTTAGGAAAACCCCATGTCTCCGGCCACACTTGATAGCAGACGGCAACCAAAAAGGTGGCTTCAGCCCTACGTCTGCAGTACAAGTCTTATCAGATGGCAGCTCCGCATACACATCAAGGGACTCTTGCCAAAGTAATCTGTAGGTTTCTAGGTTCTACACACAAGAAGGGACACTAGAAAGACGGTGGGATAAGTGGGTTTTAATTCTTCATTGCTGGTGAAAAGGATGAAATGAGTTAACTCGTGTGAAGACTCTAGAATGGAATCTATTCCCCTTACTGTTATCTTTTAGAAGATATATGTGTTTTACCACATTATACCAAAATAATTTTCATGTGCCCTGAAAGTGTTAGTAATAGTTTGCAATTATAAAGGGCAGAGGGAAAAGTACTGGATATAATTTCTACCATCTAGAACTCCTTGTACGACATAACAATTTGATCTATGTATATTGTAAAATGATTATCAATCAGTTTAGTTGACATCCATCACCAATAGTTGCATATTTTTTCTTGTAATGAGAAATTTTAAAATCTACTGTGTTAACTTTCAAATATATGATATAGTATTACTAACTACAGTCATCATGCTGTACTTTTGAGTAATCATTTTAAATTTAACTTAATAAGCATTAATTAATTGAATTAAATGTTTTCTAAAGATCAGGTCCTGTCCCAGGGCCTGGGAGAACAGTAAAACTGGGCCATGACTTTAAGGAGGTGACTGTCCAGTGAGGAAAATGTAAACATGACATTCCATCCTTACTGCATTTCCCTGACTCAGCTTTGGTCTGGAGTAGTTTCTCTACCAATGTTGGCTAACATTCATTTTTGGTCTCTCTTAGCTACTTTTATAGGGCTTAGAGACTAGAACCATGAATTTTAAATCATATTTATTAACAGTATTGAACTGAATTGAGATGAGGTGAGTGGAAATTTTTATAATGAATAACTATTTCACAGTGGGAAAATTTCATGACTATTTAAAAATGACTGCAGCTATGTGAGCAATTATATAGATATTTTCCCTCCTGATAGTTGGCAGGAAGCCTCAGGAAAGATTTCATGAACTGAGAGGGACTCACCAGAATGAGGCCGTGGGGGAACTTTGACCCCGTTAAGGGTTGGCGAGACTCCTCTGACAGGGCTGTCCGTGGCCACAGCACTGGGTGGGTAGCTCCATCTGGCATATGGTATCTCATCTTTCTGTGAGTGGTGGGACTGGCCAACACCCCACAGTGTTCTGAATGAGTTCTCATCATCATTCACATTACAGATCGGAATGTTATTCAAACCTAGGTGAGTACGGATGAGAAGAACAAACCACCAGATTAGGTTTTTGGCAGGTTTTCTTTGAATGCTCAGCAGTTTTCCAACCAGATATTATAAAATGTATGTAAAGATGTCAGACTTCAGATTTTATGAACCAGTGCTGGGTGGACAGTCCTTAAAAGTCAGTGTAGCAAATTATGTTTGCAACACATCCCTTTTTAAAATGTCCTGCCATCTTGGTAGCTTTGAGAACCAAGGCCCACATCTTTGATCTTTGTTCTGGGAGTTAAGTGGAGTAGGTTTGCTGCTAATCCCAGACAGACCTCTCATTTCCCATGTCTTAATAATGACTAAGAGGGACTATGTTAGCCCTCTTCAGGAATATCAGATTTAGATTTTTGAAAGCATCCAGAATGTCTCAATGTAACAAGGCCCCGTAAAAGACATACATTGGCTCTTCAGTGCTGGGAGAAGAGAAAGTGAGGAACAGGAGACAGGACAAGGTAAGTTGTATGGGAAGGAAGGAAGGGAAACCTAGTAAAAAGGAACCTCCTTCCTCAGAGCCTTCTGGGTTCGTTCATTCTCCTATAATAGCTATTTGCTTTTTGCTCAAATATGAATTATATCCAGGCCCTGTTCTTAGTATCAGTGCTGTGTTATATAAAACTGGGCAGCTTAAGAAGCATACGTGTGCAGGACACAGCTCTGTTAATAAGTGAATTATGAGAGACAATAATAGATGACTGCTTTGTTTCCCAAGAAATTGCACAAGAAGCTTTTGGATAATATTTTGCAGTGGGAATTAGTAACTTTGACTAGGATTATGGTACAGACTAAAAAGAGAAAATGGCCAAGGATTTACCTGTGAAGGGATTCCAACATTTACTGCAGAATTAAAAAAAAGAAAGAAAGAAACTACAGGAATAGGGAAAAAATTTTAGGAGTATATGGTGTGACCGAAACTAAGTTTTCAAAAGAGAAAGGAAGAAAGAGAGGGAAAGGTGACGAGAGGAAGGAAAGGGGGAAAGGGAGGGGGAGGAGAAAGAAGAGAAGGGATTGAGAGAGAATGAAAGTGTGAGTGACATGCTTGGTTCTCCAGGCTGGTGTTTAACATGTAGACGTTAGCACGACGGCACAGGTTGCTAAACGTTGAGGTGCTTTCTCACCACTGGGTCGGTGCCCTGAGCCTCCTGAGTGCCCCTTTGGCGCCTCTCCAGGCCCCTTTCCTGTCAATCAAGGGATCCAGGGCTGAGCGCCCCGGGGCTTGTCTGCGGCCTCCTCTGCCCTCGCCCCAGCGCTGGCGTCTGGTCCCAACAGCCAGCGCCTATGCCTCACCAGTGGTTTGGTATTTTTAATAACACCCCCATGTTTACCCACTAGAATCATCAAGGAGTCCGAATACAGAGGAGAGAGAGACATTCTAGGACTCTGAATTACCTCACCTTTGATGTGGCAGACCCTTCTGGGATGAGGAGTGTGCCTGACTAGAAAACAGCTTCCATTTCTAGCTGAAATATGGCTGCCTTTGCTCTCAGACTGAGGAGCAGACATCGGGGATTTGAGGCTCATGTTCGCGGAGTGTTGGTTTCCTCCTCTCCGCTGTTGCCACAGAAGGTCTTGGAGTGTACCTTGTTAACCTCACTTCCAGAGGTGCTCAGACCCTGAAATCACAGCATGACAATCGTTCAGACAAGGGGTTCTAGACATTTTCTTGCACATCAAACATTTCACCATCACCTTTGTTTGCCCTGAGTTGTCTCTCATGTCTGAGACAACAAATAAATAATTAGAATGTTATTTGTTAAAGTGAGGCTAATTTTACTTTAAGACCAAGTTTTTCTAACATTAAAATCAAGACAGACACAAGTAGAACAGATAAAAATTTTTCCCTGGAAAAATCAAAGCACTTGTGAGAAACTTAAAATATTTCCAACATAAAATATATGACATGGTTATCAATCAATTTTGATATAATAAAATGTTAGCTTTAAAATACAACACCCACAAATGTGCTTTACATTCAGTTTACTGTAAATGAGGACTTTTCATATTGTGCTCTTAAGAAAACCAGCATCTTAAATTTGTATCTTCTGAGAGGATGGTAAAACTTGAAGGAGAAAAAAAATCCAGTAGCAAAAGAATGATATTACATCTACAGATAATAAATTGGAGAGCTTTGGGTGTGTTATTTGCTGTTATTTGCAGTACTCAGTAATAATTAATGACTTTTCTTCAACCACTTAACAGTTGTTTATTAGACCTAGTATCATAGGCCTTAGAGGTAAAAGATAAATAAATAGCCCAATTAAAAACTGGGCAAAAGATCTGAACACCTCATCAAAGAAGATTCTGTCCATGGGATTCTCCAGGCAAGGATACAGGAGTGAGTTGTCATTCCTTTCTTCAGGGTCTTCCCGACCCAGGGATCAAACCTAGGTCTCCTTCATTGCAGGCAGATTCTTTACCATCTGAGCCACCAGGGAAGCCCATCAAAGATTATCAGATGGCAAATAAGCATTCGTATAAAGAGATACTCAGCATCATTTGTCATTAGAGAACTGCAAATTGAAACAATATGATACTGCTACACCTATTAAAAATGACTGGAATCCAAAACATTGACACCACCAAATGCTGGTGAGGATGTAGAACAACAGGAATGCCCAGTCATCATTGATGGGAATGCAAAATAACAGCCACTTTAGACAATAGTTTAGTTTCTTACAAAGCTAAATATACTCTTACCACAGGATCCAGCAATTGCATTCTGTGTTTATTCAAAGAGAGTTGAAAACACATTCACACAGAAACCTACAAATAATGTTTATTCATAATTGCCAAAAATTGGAAGTAATCAAGGTGACCTTCAGTAGGACTGGATAAACAATGTGTGGAACTTCCATACATTGGAATACTGTTCAGTGCTAAAAAGAAATGAGTTTTCAAGCCCTGAAATGGCGTGTTTAAGGAAACTTAAACAGGCTTCCCAGATAGCTCAGCTGGTAAAGAATCTACCTACAATGCCGGAGACCCTAGTTCAATTTCTGGGTTGGGAAGTTCCCCTGGAGAAGGGATAGCCTACCGACTCCACTATTCTTTCCTGGAGAATCCCCATGGGCAGAGAGAAGCCTGGTGGACTACAATCCATGGAGTCTCAGAGAGTTGGGCACGACTGAGCTACTAAGCGCAGCACAGCAAGCACGTATTACTAAGTGAGACCAACTTGAAAATGCTGCATACTGTGTAATTTTACATATGTTACTTTCCAGAAAAAGGATAACTAGAGACTATAAAAAGATCAGCAATTCCCAGGGGTTCCAGAGGGGAAGTGGTGGAGGAATGGATAGGTAGAGCATAGGGGATTTGGGAGCAGTGAAACCTCTATACTGTTCAATACCATGATAATGGATACATGATATTATGCATTTTGTCAAAACCCATAGAACTATACAACAGAGAGTGAACTCTAATGTAAACTATAGACTTTAGTTAATAATGTATAGTGTTGGTCCATCAGTTGTAACAAGTGTACCACACTACTGCAAGATTAATAATAGGAGAAGCTTGGCAGAGGGATATGGAACTCTCTGTACTTTCTGCTCAGTTTTTCCATAAGCTTAAAAACCGCTCTAAAAATATTAGCAATTGAAAAACAACTACCTCACTAGAGCTTCCCTGGTAGATCAGTCGGTAAAGAATCTACCTGCAGTGCAGGAGACCCAAGAGATGCAGGTTCAATCACTGAGTCAGGAAGGTCCCCTGAAGAAGGAAAAGGCAACCCACTCCAGTACGCTTGCCTGGACATTCCCATGGACAGAGGAGCATGGCAGGCTACAGTCCATAGGGTCACTCACAGTCAGACACAACTTAGTGACTAAACCACCACCACCTCAAACTAGCAACATTTTGTTACTATTAATAATGGCCCACATCTTACTCTCCCTCCTATTGCCTATATTGATTTCAGTACTTTTTAATTGACTGATAATTCATTGCTCAGTGATTTTAATGATAGCTTTCAAGTCCATTAGTTGGCTTGGAATAATATTTATCTATTAAACATTTCTCTTTATAACAAGCATTGATTTTGGACTGTAACTTTTTAAGACATAAATCCAGAAGAAATGAAATGATCATTCATTCTCATAAAGGGTGGATTTTTTTCCTCCCAAAACAAGAGAAATATGAGAACATATTACTAAAGTAAGGAATTAATAGAAGTAGATACCAGAAAATATATAATTTACTCATAAATATTATCTTTATTAGAGAAACAGAAATCTCACTGATTTTGTAATGAAGTGACAAAGTTTTCCTAAACCAGTATTAGAGAAATCAATCAATGGAAAACACATATATACAATGGATGGATTCAGTAGACTAAATCAGCTATAGTTACTTCTACAAATTTGCCATGGATTATTTACTAGGGACCAAATTCCTGGGTTGGGAAGATCCACTGGAGAAGGGATAGACTACCCACGCCAGTATTCTTGGGCTTCCCTTGTGGCTCAGCTGATAAAGAATCTGTCTGCAATGCAGGAAACCTGGGTTCGATCCCTGGGTTGGGAAGATCCCCTGGAGAAGGGAAAGGATACCCACTCCAGTATTCTGGCCTGGAGAATTCCATGGACTATATAACCATGGGGTCACAAAGAGTCAGACACAACTGAGTGACTTTCACTTTCAAATAGTCATATGATAAATAGTAGACAATTTTAAAAGCCAAAAATGTTTAAAAAACAACACAAGGGGTAAAACACTTTCTAGTAGTCTAGCTTCATAGGTATTTGCTATATAATAGATAAGTAGGAGTTGTCAGCCTATTTTTCCCACCGTGCTACACGTGACAGTAATGTTCACATGGAAGACACATTCCCATCACATGTTCAGATTTTAAAGACCACATCCCAAAATTGTGGGAAGCAAAGTACTAAAAATGTGTTTTAATCACCTAACTGTGGGTGTCAGTAACTGCTGCTCAGCAGAGCTGTATAAATAGACTCGAACTCCAAGCTTCCCAGTCAGGTAAGAACAGGACATTGCAACTAAATGCCAGCGATGGTGTTAGAAAACTTACCCTTGTTTATATTAATCCCTTTAAAAAACTAAACAATTTGCAAATGTGAACAGTTTAACTATTATTAGTAAATATCTTGGGTCTTGCCTGACTCAGTTCAGTATATTCGCTCAGTTGTGTCTGACTCTTTGTTACCCCATGGACTGCAGCACTCCAGGCCTCCCTGTCCATCACCAACTCCTGGAGTTTACTCAAACTCATGTCCATTGAGTCGATGATGCCATTCAACCATCTCATCCTCTGTCATCCCCTTCTCCTCCCACCTTCAATCTTTCCTAGCATCAGGGTCTTTTCAGATGGGTCAGTTCTTCGCATCAGGTGGCCAAAGTACTAGAGTTTTAGCTTCAGCATCAGTCCTTACAATGAATATTCAGGACAGATTTCTTTTAGGATGGACTGGTTGGATCTTCTTGCAGTCCAAGGGACTCTCAAGAGTCTTCTCCAACACCACAGTTCAAAAGCATCAATTCTTTGGCACTCAGCTTTCTTTATAGTCCAACTCTCACATCCATACATGACTACTGGAAAAACCATAGCCTTGACTAGACAGACCTTTGTTGGCAAAGTAATGTCTCTGCTTTTTAATATGCTATCTAGGTTAGTCATAACTTTTCTTTCAAGGAGCAAGCATCTTTTAATTTCATGGCTGCAGTCACCATCTGCAGTGATTCTGGAGCCCCCAAAAAATAAAGTCACTGTTTCCACTGTTTCCCCATCTATTTGCCATGAAGTGATGGCACCAGATGCCATGACCTTAGTTTTCTGAATGTTGAGTTTTAAGCCAACTTTTTCACTCTCCTCTTTCACTTTCATCAAGAGGCTCTTTAGTTCTTCTTCACTTTCTGCCATAAGGGTGGTGTCATCTGCATATCTGAGGTTATTGATATTTCTCCCGGCAATCTTGATTCCAGCTTGTGCTTCTTCCAGCCCAGCGTTTCTCATGATGTACTCTGCATATAAGTTAAATAAGCAGGGTGACAATATACAGCCTTGACGTACTCCTTTTCCTATTTGGAACCAGTCTGTTGTTCCATGTCCAGTTCTAACTGTTGCTTCCTGACCTGCATACAGGTTTCTCAAGAGGCAGGTCAGGTAGTCTAGTATTCCCATCTCTTTAAGAATTTCCCACAGTTTGTTGTGATCCACACAGTCAAAGGCTTTGGCATAGTCAATAAAGCAGATGTTTTTCTGGAACTCTCTGGCTTTTTCAATGATTCAACAGATGTTGGCAATTTGATCTCTGGTTCCTCTGCTTTTTCTAAAACCAGCTTGAACATCTGGAAGTTCATGGCTCACATACTGTTGAAGCCTGGCTTGGAGAATTTTGAGCATTACTTTATTAGTGTGTGAGATGAGTGCAATTGTGCAGTAGTTTGAGCATTTTTGGCATTGCCTTTCTTTGGGATTGGAATGAAAACTGACGTTTTCCAGTCATGTGGCCACTGCTGAGTTTCCCAAATTTGCTGGCATATTGAGTGCAGCACTGTCACAGCATTATCTTTTAGGATTTGAAACAGCTCAACTGGACTTCCTTCACCTCCACTGGAATTCCATCACCACTAGCCTGACTGCCTTATTATAAAACCTAGGCTGAAATGTCTTAAGAGAATACATCCAAAAGATATGCTGAGTCAAAGTAGCCAAGTTCTGTTTATAATTCTGTTTTAATTGTGATGCCAAAACTGTGCTTTCATCCTGAAGAAGAGAAGAAAAACCTGTATACGGATAACTCTGTGGGAAAATCTAATTAAAATTACCATTCACCACTTGGAATCATGTAAGTACTGAGAAAAATATTTCCTTTTCTAAAGCTTCTAAAATCTACCTATATATTAGTAAATTATTGAATTTTATCTAGACCACATGGCACAAAATCCTCAGAATAGGTAGTTTTAAAAACATTATTAATCAATCTAGTCCTGGTCATTTACTTGGAAAATACCATGCAGATGTATATTAAATACAGATTTAATTTAGTCCAAAATAGCATATATGCAAAATGTATGCTTACAAAAGGAGACAACAATAGCTGATCATTGAGCAGCTAAGTTGCTATGAATTCCTTGAGACTGTTATTTATGTGATGAATGCAGAACCATTTTACATTTGCAGAGCACCTGGCCACCCAGATCTTCCCATCGCTTCCTCCCTCACCTTGTTCATGGCTTTGTCTGGTAAGACTTTTCTGCAAAAGGCTTCCTGTGTATGTGTGTGTGCTCAGTCATGTCCAACTCTTTGCAACCCCATGGACTGTAGCCCATCAGGCTCCTTTGTCCATGGAATTTTCCAGGCAAGAATACTGGAGTGGGTTGCCATTTCCTTCTCCAAAGGTTTCCTGCCCCTCTCCAAAGTCGTTTCCACCATCATCCCATTCTTTTTCCTTCAACCTTCTTTAAACTGTCTTCATAACTCATAATGTATGTCACTGACTTTTTTTTTTTACATTTCTGTGTTTGTTTTTTGCTTCTCTCAATAGGATGTATCAAGCAGGCAGTGATCTAGTCCAATTTTCCACCTGACACATGGTTTATGCTCAATAAATATTTATTAAGTAAACCTTTTCAAAGAATAAATGTTCTTATCCCACAAATTCAGCATTTTTTATTTGTTGCTCTCTCAGAAATAGGTGGTTTATTTTAAAAGGTAATGCCCCATTTCCTCAAAACAGACTTAATTGGCTTTTATGTAGTCTTGAAAAGGTCAGCTCAACTGTGGTCCATAAACTATGTCAAACCTAAAACTTTAAAAAATTATTTTAATGATGAATTTAAAATTATACCTGAGGTCAATTTTAAAGGAAGGTGATCTGGCTGACAGGAACTCAAGGCTTGTGATACCCTTCAAGCCTTGTAATGGGTCTATCTTGAGTTGTCATTGATTTCCTGAAATCTTTGTACTTGAGCTGGGAATCCTTAATTGGCAGAGACAGCCTAATGTCTAAGGTTTCCAAATGAATGTAAGTGTCTCCCTCCGGTTTGTCCCTCTCTTGCTCCAAGGAGCCCTATGTGGCTCCCTGGTTGTTAAGATACTCTATATAGCTTAGCAACATGGTAACATTCCTTGGGGAAATCTGAGTTCCAGAACCTCTCCACTTGTCATTCTTCTTAGAGCTCTACCTACCCACAGTACCCACAGCCACTTGGCAGCAGTGATTTTTCTCATCTTTGAATGTAAAATAGAGCTGAATCAAATGCAAGAGAAAGAACAACAGAGTGGGGGGAAGAATTTCAACCATGTAGATAATTTTCTGCAAAATGTTGCTTAAAGAACACGTACCATGCAGATGTAATCAAACTTAGCTCATCAAAAACATGTAGGGAGAAAGTGTGAATGACTTTAAAGAATCCCAGTCATCCTGCTCAAATAATCAGGATGACCATGCTGATGACTGTTCAACAGCCTTGAAAAAGAATTGAAATGTTAATTAAAAATCATAAAGATATATTAAGTAATACAGTTAAAGTCATAAAGTTCTCTATGAAAATTAAAGATGGAATTACCATGTACACACACAACTGTACAAACATATATGTTGCTGTCAACTGTCATAATTATGTATACTGGTGCTTTCCAGTATTTTTCTTCTCAGACCACACATGACTTTTGATAGCTGAATTACCATCTCTGAAAGCAATATAGCTAATTCCTGAAGGGCAAACACTTAATTTACAACAATGCAAGGATAGAATTTAAGACAATCTTGTTTTCTTGACTGGCCCCAAGAATTAAAGGCTCAGCATCTCTTTGCACCTATAACCCATTCAGGACTTACATATTATTTATGGGAGGTCTAAAGGATTTTCCAAGGTAATTTTTGCATTTTGAGATTTTCTTTCTATACTTTCTACCAGTTAGGAATTGGTTTTATGCAACTAGTAGCAGAGATTATTTCTCCCTCACGTGAAAGAGTTCCGTGGTTGACACAGCAGTTCCAGAATGTCATTATGGCCCTAGGCTTGTTGCATATTTGGGTCCATCTTCCTTAAGGTGCGGCTTCTCTCCTGGAGCTTAATTCTTATCCCAGGTGGTGCCTGAAGTTCTAATCATCCAAACGGCTACTCTGTTGCCAGGCGTCACATCAATAATCCGGGAAGAAAACAAGAGGAAAGGCAGGGGGCTGGTAAGGACAGACATGGCACTAGCTAGCCAGTTGCCCCTCCTGTAAGAGCCTTTCTGTGAATCCCAGGCAGTAATCTGGATGCACTGATCACCTGTAGCTGGAAGTGGGGGGAAGGAAGGGGGAGGTGGGGGGGCACAGAAAATGTAGCTTCCTCACAGAGTACATTCCCACCCCTTTCTAAAACAGAGGCTTAGAAAACATACTTTAGGTTTATAAGCAGTAACCTCTACCACAGAGCCTGACATCACTAACCCATGCGTGAAAGATGTCTATATTCTTGTGGTTTACACCTTTCCTTAGAGACAGGTATCATCCATTAGAAGAAGATATACTTCTGGCATGTAACCATAATTCTGTTATATTCCCTTTATGAGGACCTTTCTTCTCTCTTTATCAGAAAAAATGATACAACTCATTGGGTTGGGCACAGTTTACAGTAATTCTGTCAGACCATGGACTGAGATGGCTCTGATGCTCTGTTCAGGGCAGCTTGTGTGTCCTTATTGTCTTGGGAACAGACTACCAGTCCAAGACACTGTTATTTTCAGCACAGGTAGAAGACAGATGGAGAGATTTCTTGAGATATATGCGTGAATCTATGAATGGTGATTAGTAGTTTTTAAAACACCGGTAATAAACAGCAGGAAACTCCACATGTTCATTGTCCACAGATACTTTTGAGTATTGCTGTGGACTGAAGTGTGTCCCCCAAATTCCTGTGTTGAAGCTCACCCTCAGCATGACTGTGTGTGGACACAGGACCTAGCAGGAGGTAAAGTTACATGCAGTCACAAGGGTGGGTCCTAACAGCGAGGACTGGCATCCTTAGAAGAAAGAAACACCAGAGCTCGCTCTCTCTTTCTCTCTGCACATACAGAAGAAAGGTCATGTGAGGATATGGCAAGGAGGCATCCATCTACTCATCAGGAAGAGTGGTTTAACCAGGAACCAACCCAGCCAGCAACCTAATCTTAGATTTCCAGCCACTACAACTCTGAAAAAATAAAATTCTGTTGTTTAAGCCACATAATGTCAGTGGCATTATGTTACAGCAGCCCTAGCAGATTCACACAGGTGTGAATATGTAGGTAACTCTTAGGTCAATTTTCTCCATGTGCAAGCTCCAAGTGGTTGCATCTTGGAGCTATGAATGGATTAGGCCTATTCATTTTTATCCTCATTTTGTATTTACTATAAAAATGTTATTAGTGTCTGATTAACTTATAAGAAGGTAATGCAAATAATTTATGAAAGGTAAAAATGCTAATTTAAAACAATACAAAAATAAAAATTTCATCTGGTTCCTTACCCATCCAGTACTTTGTTCTGTCCATTTTGAAAGCATATGATTCAACACTAAATTTGCATCAAGTATCTGCAATCCCAGAAAATAGTACTTATGCAAGTGTCTATAAATTGTCCCCCAGATTTTCTCTCCCTGGTGTCCACACCCTGTGGAATCTCCTTCTCTTGACTGTGGGAGCACTTGTGAATAGAATGAAGGTCACCCCTGTGATTATATTCTATGAGCAAGAGAGAGAGATTTAGAAGATAATTAAGATCTAAAATCAGAATTACTTAGAGTTTATCAAAGTCTGTTCACCAAAAGGAGATTATTTGGGATGGTTCTGACCTAATCAGGTGAGCCCTTTAAAAGAGATTTAGGTTGAGGTAGCTCAGCTGGTAAAGAATCTGCCTGCAATGCAGGAGACCCTGGTTCGATTCCTAGGTCAGGAAGATTCCCTGGAGGAGGGCATGGCAACCCACTCTGGTATTCTTGCCTGGAGAATCCCCGTGGACAGAGGAGCCTGGCAGGCTACAGTCCATGGGGTCAAAAAGAGTTGGACACAACTGAGCGACTAAGCAGGCACACGCAAGGACAGACAGCACACCTGCTGGCCTTAAAGAAGCAAGCAGTCATAAGGTCTACAGCTGCCAGGAAGTAAGTCAGCCAGCAGCCACAAGAACTTGAGGACCCCAAGCTGCAGATGAAAGCCCAGCCCCAGCTGGCCCCTGGGTTGCAGCCTCATGAGACCCTGGTCTGGAGATCCGACTCAGGTTAAGCCATGCCCACACTCCCCACTCACTGTGAGGTAACAGCAAAGGTGTTAAACCATTGTCTGTCAGAAGCCTGAATCCAGGGCTTTTACCCATGACTAGTGGACACTGAGTTGCTGCCAGGCCAGGGGTCTGAACTCTGCTTAGGCTGTAAGAATCACTAGTACAAGTCCTTTTGATAAGAATGTATTTGCTAAAACACAAAAGACCCCAAATAACCAAAGCAGTCTTGAGAAAGAAGAATGGAGCTGTAGGAATCAACCTTCCTGACTTCAGACTATACTACAAAGCTACCGTCATCAAGACAGTATGGTACTGGCACAAAGACAGAAATGTAGGTCAATGGAACAAGGTAGAAAGCCCAGAAATAAACCCATGCACCTATGGGTACCTTATTTTTGACAAAGGAGGTAAGAATATACAACAGGTCAAAGATAGCCTCTTCAATAAGTGGTGCTGGGAAAACTGGACAGCTACATGTAAAAGAATGAGATTAGAACACTTGCTAACACCATATACAAAGATTAACTCAAAATGGATTGAAGACCTACATGTAAGATATAAAACTATAAAACTGTTAGAGGAAAACATGGGCAGAATACTCAATGACATAAATCAAAACAAGATCTTCTATGACCCACCTTCTAGAGTAATGGAAATAAAAACAAAAATAAACAAGTGGGACCTAATAAAACTTAAAAGCTTTTGCACAGCAAAGGAAACTGTAAACAAGGTGAAAAGACAACCCTCCAAATTGGAGAAAATAATAGCAAGTGAAACAACTGACACAGGATTCATTTCAAAAACTTACAAGCAGTTCATATGACTCAATACCAGAAAAACAATCAATGTAATCAAAAGTGGGAAAAAGACCTAAACAGACATTTCTCCAAAGAAAACATACAGATGGCTAACAAACATGAAAAGATGCTCAACATTACTCACTATTAGAGAAATGCAAATTGAAACTACAATGAGATATAATCCCACACCAGTCAGAAAGGCTATCATCAAAAAGTCTACAAACAGTAAATGCTGGAGAGGGTGTGGAGAAAAGGGAACCCTCTTGCACTGTTGGTGGGAATGTAAATTGATACAGCTACAATGGAAAACAGTATGGAGATTCCTTTAAAAACTATGATTAAACCACCATATGACCCAGCGATCCCACTCCTAGGCATATACCCTGAGGAAACCAAAATTGAAAAAGACACATGTACCCCAGTGTTCATTGCAGCACTATTTACAATAGCTAGAACATGGAAGCAAACTAGATGTCCATTGACAGATGAATGGATAAAGAAGCTATGGTACATATACACAATGGAATACTCAGCCATAAAAAGGAACACATCTGAGTCAGTTTTGATGAGGTGGATGAACCTGGAACCTATTATACAGAGTGAAGTAAGTCAGAAAGGGAAAGAAAAATATTGTATGCTAACACATATATATGGAATCTATACAGATCGTACTGATGAAATTTTCAGGGCAGCAGTGGAGACATAGAGAACAGATTTATGGACATGACTGGCAAGGGAGGAAGGAGAAGGTGAGATGTATGGAGAGAATAACATGAAAACTTCTATTACCATATGTAAAATAGATAGCCAATGGGAACTCAATGGGAACTCAAATAGGGGCTCTGTAACAACCTAGAGGGGTGGGATGGGGAGGGAGATGGAAGGGGGGGTTCAGGAGGGAGCAGACATATGTATATCTATGGCTGATTCATGTTGATGTTTGGAAGAAAACAACAAAATTCTGTAAAGCAATTATCCTTCAATTAAAAAATTTAAAAAAATTTTTAAAAAGGAATGTATTTGCTAGTATTTGACTTTGCCACTTAGTAACTCACCATCTTCCAGCCTATATTGGGATTCAGCTCTGTCTTAACCATGTGCACTATCCATTGTTTACCTGCCAGTGTTTTCCTTATTGAAAAGACATAAGAAGAGTCAAGTAATTTTGCTTTCTTTATCTGTTCTCTCCCTCTATTCTTGTTTAAGACATAGCATTAAAACATTAAAAGCCTTATTATTTGCTCTTAGCACTTTCTTTTCAGAAAACAAGTCTGACATTATTATTTTCCCCTTTAGCTTTAAGGCACTAGTCTTATAGGTCCTGAGACTTTCTTTTATGAACCTTGATTATAGGGCTCCCCTTTTACTGGTTGTTCAGGCAGCAGTGTTTACAGCAGTACCAATTTAATAGCCCAAATGGGAAGTGACCCAAATGCCCAACAAAAATCAAGTGAATACATAAATTGGGGTGTAGTCACACAATGGAATACCACATGGCAGTGAGAATGAATGATCTGATTACACACGACAATATTGACGAACCTCATAAACATAACATTGAACGAGAGAAGGTGGGATCAAAGAGTATAAACTGTACAATCCTCTGTTTCCATAAAATCCAGAAACAGACAAAACTAACCTCTGGAGTGCTAGTGTGGGTGATGTCATCCTTGTGACAGGAGAGGGGGCAGGGCACGAGAAGGCTCTGGTGCCAGGAGATTCTGTTTCTGGAACTGGGTGCTGGTAACATGCATGAGTTCAGTTTGTGAGAATTTATTGAGCTCCACACCAATGATGTGGACACCTTGCTGATGGAATATTACACATCCATTAAAAGTTTTTTAACATGCAATTTCCTGTGTTCCACCCCTTAGACTTATTGAGTCAAAATTCCTGGGAAGAGAACTTAGATATTTGAATTTTAGGCAGGATCCCCAACCCAAGGAGATTTTAATGCCTTGTGACACCTGAGAACCACTTGTCTAGAAATCTTTAAAACAAAGGCAGAAATGTAATTAAAATTATTTTTCTAACTTAAGTGTTTATAAAATTAAAAACATCTTATTAATAGCCTTGCTAGTAACTAGTCTTCCTGGTAACATAAAAATGTAACCCAACAAAAAGTCACATATTGTGGCATATGTTTTGATTTTGTTTCAGGTTTCAGGAGCAAAGATAGTGGCTTTCAGTTTGTGTCTGATTTTATGGCCAAAAAATGATTAATATGGATCATTAATAACTCATGTGTTGCACAGAGAACAAATTCAGGGAGGAATTGACTTGCATCACTCAGGAAAGAGCTGTGTGTTAATATAATGCTCTCAACCAACAAAGAAGGGGGGGGGCTTCAATTTGAACTAAAAGTGAAGTAACAATATATATCAGTGTTACTTTCTTAGATGACCTCTATTCTAAATTATCACAATAACTTGTTTTATTTCCATTTTATACAAGAATACAACATGTTTCTTTCCTATAGATTTATGTATTCCTGATACAGAATATTCAAATGAGGGGGTCCAGACTAATAAATCTTCAGGTGAATATATATGTATTCTCCACATACACCATACAATTATATAAACAGTGATTGTACTCTTCCAATCACTCACTTCTTTGGTGCCTTCAGATGTTCCCTTCATATTTCTCTTAACTAGAGAGAAAAAAGTAGTTAGAATGCAGATAAGTTCTCATTTCTAGGCAAATCTTCTGAACCAAAGATTTGGTTTGGTTTGGTTTGGTTCAAAGAAAGCTCCAAAGATTCTTAATCTGCTTTTAAACTTAAGAGCACCCATTTTGAAAATTTCCACAGCTGATCTGACATGGAAGAACACCTTCAAAGCTCTTTTGAATGATGATTGCTGGGAGAAGGGGAGGTTCAAAGAAGAGGCGTTAGCACCCATTTCAGTTCTTAAATGCAGGAACTGTTAGTTTTGCAATTACTGTAATAGTCTTGGGGCTTTCCCAGTGGCTCAGAGAGTAAAGAATCTGCCTGAGAAGCTGGAGACGCTGGTTTGATCTCTGGATCAGGAAGATCCCCTGGAGAAAGAAGTGAAAACCCACTCCAATATTCTTGCCTGGGAAGTCCCATGGACAAAGGAGCCTGGCGGGTTACAGTCCATGGGTCACAA